TCGTAACGACTGTAGACGGCTACACTCCTCGAAGAAACACTTCACGTAAGCGATCTATCTCTAGTCCACGAGAGACAGATAATCCTGACTGGTGCTGGTATCATAACAAGTATGGAGAGTCCTCCAGAAATTGCAGAAAACCCTGCAATTTTCCCAACTCAAAGTCGACCGACAAGATAAACAATTTGGGAAACTTCCAAGCAAGCACGCGTTAACGGCGACCGTAGCCGGCGAACACAGCCGTCTGTCATACGTCACAGATGTGACAACGAGAGTTCACTACCTCGTCGACACTGGAGCAGAAGTTAGAGTTCTTCCTGCAAATCCTAAAGACCGGCTTCACGAATCAGTTTTAAACTTACAGGCGGAAAACGGAAAGCCTAACGCCATATACGGTAAAAGGTACGTTTACCTTAACGTCGGTTTACGCAAACCCATTCACTGGATTTTCGTCGTTGCAGATGTTTCTATGCCAATTATTGGTATGGACCTTCTACAACACCACAATCTGATCGTCGACACTCGCAAACGGAGGCTAGTAGACGGAAACACTAACTTATTTGTTTGTGTAACTTCCTTTCCTGGTTGCAGATTATCCCCAGTCACAATTGATCACACGATAGACCCTTTTTATCAACCACTACTCGATAATTATCTTGGGATACAACAAACGCAACCGAAATCACCGTATGTAGCCAGCAATGTTACACATCATATAATGACTACAGGACCACTTGTATTCTCTAAAGCACGACGACTAGCTCCCGAAAAGCTAAGGTTGGTGAAAAACGAGTTCGACCACATGATAGACTTAGGTGTCATAAGACCGTCAAACAGCCCATGGGCATCTCCATTGCATATGGTTCCTAAAAAGGACAGCAACGATTGGAGTCCAACTGGTGAGTATCGGCGATTGAATGTGAAAACCATTCCCGATCGTTACCCGTTGCCTCACATTCACGATTTGACAGCCACCTTGAAAGGTACAACTGTCTCTTCGAAAATCGACTTGGTTAAAGCGTATAACCAAATCCCTATGGCTACTGACGATATTCCTAAAACAGCTATCATAACTCCCTTCGGACTCTATGAATTTTTGCGAATGCCTTTCGGTCTAAGAAACGCTGCTCAAACATTCCAAAGATTCATAGACGACGTTTTTCGAGATCTCAACTTCGTACATGCGTATTTTGATGACTGTCCAATCGCAAGTCCGGACAGAGAAACACATCTCAAGCATCTGGATCTTGTTTTCGAACGACTACAAAAACATGGCATTACTGTAAACATTCAGAAATGCCGAATCGGAACCGACTCGTTAGACTTCCTAAGACACACTAAAGATGCTCAAGGCATCCGACCCCTTAGGACCAAAATGGCGGCCATTCTGGATTACCCAGAACCGACCACCGTCAAACACTTACGAACGTTTAACGGCCTTATAAGTTTCTATAGACGATTCATACCTAAATGCGCATTAATCTTGAAACCTCTTACCGACCAACTTCGTGGAAATGCGAAATCCATTAATTTGGACGACACCGCGCGAAAAGCATTCTCCACAGTTAAGGAACTTATCGCTAAAGCAACAATGCTTGCTCATCAAGACTATTAAGCACCCATTGGCACCGCAGTAGACGCATCCGACTCAGCAATCGGAGGAGTCTTACAACAGTAGGTTAACAACTCCTGGCAACCCCTGGCATTTTTCTCTAGACGGTTGCTAGACACCGAATCGAGGTACAGCACATTCGGTAGGGAACTCCTAGCTATGTATTGTGCTGTATGGCATTTTCAACACTACATCGAAGGCCGTGAATTCACCCTTTTCACTGACCATAAACCTCTTACCTTCTCCTTAATCTCTTCTTCAGACAAGTACTCACCTCATGAGTCTCGACAACTGGGTTACATTTCACAGTTTACTCCAGATATTCAACGCATCTCTGGAGCAAACAATGTAGTCGCAGACGCCTTGTCTCGAATAAATTCCTTGAACAGTTTCCAAGGAATCGACCTTCTGAAACTCTCCCAGCTTCAAAAGGAAGACACTGATCTTCAGCACGAGTTATCGTCTACAACCCTCAAACTACGCATAAAACAGATGGGAACAGGTAAGGAAACCTTACTTTGTGACACATCTACAGTTAGGGATCGCTCAATCGTGCCGAAACAGTATCGACGCAACGTCTTCAATACGTTGCACAAACGTCATCCAAGTGTTCGTGCAACCATCAAGCTTATAGCAGAACGATTTTGCTGGCCTGGCATGAATAAAGAAGTGAGGGAGTGGGCACGCCCCTGTGTAGGCTGCCAGAAATCTGAGGTGATTAGACACGAAAATGGCCATTAGGCCCTTTCAATATTCCCGACTCTGGTTTCGACCATATTCATCTGGATTTGGTAGGACCTCTACCAGATTCAAATGGATACTCTTATCTCTTAACCTGCGTTGACCGTTTCACTCGATGGCCAGAAGCAGTACCTATCAAGGACATCACTGCTGAAACAGTGGCCAGCGCCTTCGTCAAACGATGGGTAGCAAACTTCGGCTGCCCTTCAACTAGCACTACAGATCGCGAACGTCAGTTTGAATCTGAACTTTTACGTCGTCTGACCACACTTTTAAGAATCACTCGCTTCTGAACGACTGCCTATCACCCACAAGCAAATGGGTTAGTAGAACGCTTTCACCGACAACTAAAAACTTCACTATCAGCTGCAAACGTTTCACAGTGGACCGACGCTCTTCCACTCGTCATACTAGGTATTCGCAATGCAGTGACAGCTGACATGGGATACACTGCGGCTGAACTCGTTTGTGGAACAACACTTCGACTTCCAGGAGAATTCGTGGATTCTTCATCCTCTTCAATGAACATGGATCTAACCTCCTACACGAACAGGTTTACAAACGCAATGCGTTCAGTTAAACCTGTTTCCACTTGACCGCAATCAACTGAAGTTTTCGTTCAACCTGACTTACGATATTGTACACACGTCCTCGTTCGTCGAGACTCATATCAACAACCTTTCGAATCAGCGTACGAAGGACTTTTCAAAGTTCTTCGACGCGAACCTAAGTACTATTTAATCGATAAGAACGGAACCAACGATAGCATCAGGATGGATTGCTTCAAAGTAGCGTATTTAGAACGAAATTCTATCCACATCGATTTTCCTTCGGTACAGTCGGACGGCACGACTACCACACTTAAAATGCCTCAATTGACAAACAACACACACGATGATACTTCGGCAGTATCTAAAAATAATCGTGAAACAACGTGTTCTGGAAGAACAGTATGATTTCTAGAACATTTGAACAATTATTGCACGTAAGATACTAGATGACATTTTATATCGTCTCGGTTTTCCTTCGTACTATATATAATTCAAAAGAAAAACCGATTTTAATATGCATGAATTTATTTTCCATTTTTTCACCCACTTTGTGGTTTTACGCGCGTAAAAGCGTATTTCGACACGTACTAACATATTTTTTTTCCAGGACGGCTGGAAAACAGCGATGAAGTTTACGAGGAACCGAAATTTTCATTGTACTTTTTACCTTTTTACTGTATTGTACTTCATGGTCCCCTATAGTAAAGAAAAACGATCGGACTCTGTTAAACCTAGCAAGCTATCAGAAGAGTGTTTACCAACGACAAACTCGTTGAGTTTAAACTTCTGGCTGGCCACGTCTTAGGGTCATCTCTACCCCACTAGGGGGGGGTAGTGATCTGTAGCGGTAATAAAACTTCAAAATAAATAGCTCTGTAGGTTTTCGACATTGGATGCTGACCACATTATTTTTAATGGACTCAACTAGCTGAAGGAGATCGGTCATGCGTCCGCACCAGATCACGAGTGGGAACGCCGTGCACAACAACCCCTGCAATCGCTAGCCAGATTAGGTCAGACAATCCCCGATATATTGATAGCCTATCAAATATAACTTCGAACCTCCTCGCTCTTGTCTTTTGATTTCACTTGTTGGGTACGCTTCATATTAGGTGTTACTGTTTAAAGCGTTGTCAAACTCCGAATATCTGTGGCATCTTTAGGTTAGACAAAGATATTACTTACCTTCTTGCTAAAAATGTCTAAGTTCCTGCCTTGGGGGTCGTTTATCTGCTGCCAATAGACCCGAATACCTGTGGCATCTTCATTATTCCATTCCGCCTCAGTTGATTAATAGTGCCCTGTGGCCAAATACACTTACAAAGGCGTTGTAGTGCAACTGGTTCTAAATTACACGATCTTCGGAACAGAACATACGATAACTGAGAAGAGTTACATTCATCATCTAACACCACGGAGAAAGCCGGGTATGGTGGATATCGTAACACAAAGTCAAGATGACATAGCTTGGCCATTCAGGCGTAGTCACTCTGAGACTTATTCCTCTTCATATTAGATATACCATTCTAACCCTAACCTAAACATGTCTTTCAAAAAAGTTAAACGTCATATTGCTGACTGTCAAGATAAAACGAATCACTATAGACAGTGATGTAACCTTCACTTTGGGATTGGGTCTATCATTTTAGCAGTCGAGATAAGTGTACTTATATCGAACTCGATTATAATCCCACAGCACCACTTCATGTTAAGAAACTAAATGAAACATGAAGAATACGTTGGAATTTTCCAAACGGTAGAATCTTTGGGCTGTAGAAGTTACCACCATAGAGGTCACTGACAATATATTTCATTGGGTTTTGCATAATTACGCTCGATATATATCATAGGTCTAATATGACTAATGGAGCGCACTGTGATATCACTTTTCAACCACTCCTATTATTTCCCAACGTTTTTACCCTTAGGTTCCGAAGGTATGCAGAACGAATGGCAACTCATTGTAGCCAACGATATTCTATTGGAACGGACAAATAGTTGGTTATCGCTTCCCAGAGAGTTGGAACTTTGAAATGTGGTGAGCGGGTTTAGGATAACTACGTTACGCCTAAGACTATGCTACAAGCCTACTATTCATGGGCAACCGGTTAGCTTGTTGTCGCCAAACATGGATAGAATTTCATGATGAAAGTGAAGAAGACTGCAAGAATCACTCATTACCCCGAGTTTTTGGTCACCAGAATAATGGTGCTGATTTCTCTGAAGAGGATAGTGGATTCAAAATTGAAAATCGTGAACCCTGTGTCAGTTGTACACGTATTAGCATACCTGAGAAACCTTCTGTTGCATATAATTTAACACAACACATAAGTGAACGGGAACCAGAAGGTTTGTGACCTATGGGTCACATTTATTATATTAATGCACCATAGATGTCGAGTTTGACCCATCACTTAATGCCTCACAACATACACTGTTCCTTTCCGGCATTACACCTGAATATCAGAGTAAGTGAGATATTTTTTTACACTAAGACCTAGTAGTAGGATTTTCCAGGGACCTGACGGTATGTTGTAAATTTATTTATGGCTTACGCAACATCAGCCCAAGTCTAGGAAAGGGGCTCCTACAACCCTTTCTATTAAACGGTGGAGTTCTTGCAGTACTATATATGTTGGGGATGGCTATCTGGCTCGTCCTGATGTGAATGACATTGTATGTAGCGTGTCAGTGGCTATTCAACTTCTTATGTGCAGTGATCTAAACAAACATTTTTCAAAGCTGTTACATAAACCGGGTGTAAATTCATGTCCTGACTTCCTGCAGGATATGTATGAAGAGGTGTATAGAAATTTTGATGAACGAGTCTACCCCATTGAGGTAAGTCTAAAAGGTCTGTCTGAACTATTTCAAAGTAAATGTGTTCAACTTCATCCAATTCCCCTTCCCATTTAAACTAGTAATTACCAGGGAAGGTAAGAAGCTCTGCAATATTTTGGTGGTAAATGTTACATAAGTTTTTGTTACTTTGTAAGTAGCCGTTTATGGTACTATTGAAAAATCTTATGACACCTTAATAAGTCAGTCAGTCAGCTACAACGTAGGACCAGGCACATATGTGCATCGGTCCAGGTCGCCATACCTCATTAGCACAGCAAGATGAACACCGGATTCATAGGAGTGGTTAGGTCAAAGGTGGTAATATATAGGAGGAAGATTGCAATAAAGATATAGTATAGGAAGAAAGAATTAGTTCGTAGAAAGAAAGATATGAAGTGATTTTAATCTCTTAGTTTAAGGGAAGACAGGGAGTGTATATACCGATGCCATTGTGATCGATTCTGAGCCATGTCACCAAGAGTCTCCAACCATTGGTTACGATAGTCACGCGGACCCCAATCAAGTAGTCTGTATCTACCAACATGGCTCAGACTAGAAGTTAGTGACTTCAAGCACTGATGCCACGTTTTGGTTTGGCCGCCCCTAACTTTCTTCCAACCATCCCCTACACCGGTTAGCATTGCACATCGTGGTAATCGGTGTTCAGGCATACGTAACACGTGGCCCAACCATCTCAGTCGATGAAGATTCATAACCTCATCAACTGATTTACCATCATTCCCTAATACCCTGCGCCTAACCTCACTATTACTTACCCTGTGATCCCAGCAGATGCCAGCAATATTTCTAAGGCATCTGTGGTCAAATACTAGTAGCTTACGCGTGTCTTCTACTCTTAATGGCCATGTTTCGCTGCCGTAAATTAAAACAGAACGAACTGCCGCACAGTATACTCGTCCTTTTATTGATAGACGGATATCTCGCCTCCGCCAAAGGTGACGTAAGTTGGCAAAAGCCAAGCGAGCTTTTCGAATCCGTGCTGAGATTTCGTCAGACACCAACCCATTAGGGCTGGTCAGACTTCCAAGATAAGTGAAGTTGTCAACGCGTTCGACTACTTCACTCCCTATCCTTAGTTCAGGTGTTGACGCAGACCAGTCCTGAAGCAACAACTTGCATTTAGAGGGAGAGAAGCGCATCCCAAACATTCTGGCATTGTCGCTTAGTGCTAACAGAAGACTCTGCATTTTGTCAGCGTCTTCACCAAACAGGACTATGTCATCTGCGTATTCCAAGTCGATAAGTGGACCTCCTGGAAGGAGATCAATACCCGAGAATTCAGTCGACGAGAGTGTTATTTCCATCAATAGGTCTATGATGAAGTTAAACAAAAGTGGAGAAAGTGGACAGCCTTGACGGACACCACTTGAGGTTGCAAAAGCAGATGACAGTTCGCCATAAGCCCTGACTCGACTAGTAGTGTTCGAGTAAAGAGCCTTCACAAGGTTTATGTACTTCTGAGGTACGCCTTTCAATGACAGACACTGCCACAGAGTCTCGCGGTCTACAGAGTCAAACGCTGCTTTTAAGTCAAGAAAGACCACCATCGTCGGACGCCGATAGGTATGCCTGTGTTCTAGAACCTGACGAATGGTGAATATGTGGTCGATGCAGCCACGACCAGGTCTAAAGCCAGCTTGGTTCTCTCGAGTTTGTAGTTCACGAGTCTTAGTTAAGCGTCTGATAATTATCGAGGCCAGTATTTTAGATACTATGTTTGTTAAACTAATCCCTCTGTGGTTGTCACAGGATGATTTTGACCCTTTCTTATATATTGGGACGATAAGTGATTGCGACCAGTCAGATGGGATAAAGTCTAATTCCCAGATCTTAGCTAAAATATTAGTCAACCTAATCGATAAAATTGGACCACCATCCTTAAAGACCTCTGGAGCTAATCCATCTGGACCAGCTGCCCTTCCTCGTTTCAGATTAACTATAGCCTTTTGAACTTCAGCAAGAGTTGGGGGACCTACTTCAATGTTCCATTCACACTGGGAATGGAGGGTAGTTGTAGAGAAGCTGAAGGCCAGCTGAACTGTTCTGTAAAATGTTCCGCCCATCGTTCTAAACGTCTGGACTGGGAGCAGATGAGAGTATCATCTTTTTCCGAAATAATCTCACTTACACTTGACTTATTAATTCCAGTTTCTTTTATTAGTCTGTAAAGCTGTCTTGTGTTCCCTATAGCCGCCGCCTTTTCCATCTCTTTTCCTTTCGTTACCCACCACTGCTCACGGTCGTTCCTTAGACTTTTTCTTAACCTAGATCTGATTTGTTTACGCTCTTCATCATGTTCAGAACCTGATGGGACGAGTTTGCGAGAATCCATCAGTGTGACAGACCTTGAAGAAATTCACTGGTTCCTTGCAACTCTGTGGTTTAAGTCACTAATAGATGTCACTGCTGTTTCCACAGCTGATTGTATGCCCTTCCAAGCAACATCTGGGTCAACCTCATTTCCAAAACTACCTAATCGTGACCTCAGTTGTTCCTGGAACCTACTTTTGGTTTCCTCGCTACTCAGTTCGGTTCTAATGGGTCTTTTTACTGTGGCTTTTTTGCGTCCAGTGAGGCGCAAGCAGATGCGTGCCCGCATTAGGGTGTGGTCGGAGTCCAAGCAGGTACCCCAGAATGAGCGACAATCTTCTACCGACCCTCTCCAACGATGACTGATGGCAATATGGTCTATTTGAGTCCATCGTTGGTTTGGTGCAGGCGGTCGCCATGTTAGACGATGTCTCTCCTTATGCTTAAAATTTGTGTTTGCTAAAAATAGACGATTGTCTGAGCATAGCTGCAGCAGACGATCACCATTATCTGTTCGCTGTGTCGGAATACTAAAATATCCACCTGAATGCCTTTCTGTTTGGTTTAAACTGCCTATCTGAGCATTAAAATCACCTGCTACAAGTACTATGTCTGAGCGTTTAGCTTTCTGAAGAAGTTCGGACAGCTTTCTGTAAAATTTATCTTTCACTTCATCTGAGCTGCAGTCAGTGGGAGCGTAGGCAGAAACGACAAAAAGGCAACGACGTGTGTCCCTATCCTTCCGAGTTCTTACGTAGCCGTTCAGCCGAACAGCACATAGACGACTGCTGACGGGGATCCACTCTAGCAGTGCTTGTTCGGCCCTCATGTTTAATGCTATGCCTACACCTGCCAGTCCACGAGAACTTGCCATCGGGTCACCAGATACACGAAGGGTGTATCTCGTTGGCTCTCCGTTTTGCCAAGGTGAGGTCAAGTGAATAACCACACTGGAATCCTGTATGCGTGTTTCGGAGACACAGCACACGTCAATGGTAAGAGACTCTAGGGTTTTAGCCAAGGAAGCCTGCTGACCGATTTTACATAGGGTTCGTACGTTGAAGGCTCCAATGTGTAGTTTGGAGCGAGGTTTCAGTAGACCTGGAACAGTGTTTTGCGCACTAGAATCGTTGGCTATGGTGACACTTGAGGTGGAAGCCGAGAGAGGAAATTTAAAGTTGAAAGTCGATGTAGGAGGAATAATAGGGATTGAAGAGGGAGGTTGATTATGAATACAGTGGTATTGAGTGCTGTTAGAGGTATGAGGGCGGTTATCACTTCCCGGTTGCCCACACCGAGGAAGGGTTCTTCTGGAGGTACCTGAAAAGGAAATTGGATTAAAGGTGGTCTTAGTGACCTGAGAGCGTGACCGCAGAGCCCAAGGGACAACTGCTTGAGGTCGGTCACACACGACCTTTTTATGGGTACTTTTTGTGTTAGCTCCGTACTTATTTAGACCTTACCGCCGAAGACGGATATCCGTGGGATAAGGCGAGGTGTGCATTTTTAGGGTCGACCTTTTCTAACCCCACCCCTCCTTGTGGGAAGGCAGCATCGCTGTCATGCTGGTTGTCTGAAGGAAACACCTTACTGCTGTCACACCTCTGTACAGTCAGCAGTACGACTTCACCTTCAGACCTTGGGTTTGTTGCTTTTAGTCTTACCGCTCTTCAACCGACCTGTCTGACATGGTAGGACCTAGAGGAACGGTCTTTCCAGCCAGTATAGCTCGGTTGCTTCATCACGATAGTCAAGCCCGACCACCGCGTCAAGGTAGCAACAACGATCGGGACACCTTAATAAACAAGGTAACTGAAAATGGGTCTTTGTGTAAATGTTTTTTAGCCATTCAGATTGTCGGAAAATTAGCGGCGCTTAATACTCAAGAACATATTTTTGTATTTTATGACGAATCACAATTTGAGGGCTGGTGACGCATGCTCTCTCAAACCGTTGTAATTGAAAAGCTCTCATCTAACTCAGCGGTTGTAGTGAATTTTCAGATTGCTTAGTTGTCTCGAAAAACTGACTGCACTTGGAATTTCTTATTAGCTTAAGTATTTTGGGTTAATTCAGTGGGTCTAGTTTCGATAGTGCCATACCTTGTTATACAGAATAAGTAATGCTCATAACCTATTCCTTACATGTGTAGACTGGTTTTTTATGGCTTGTCACTCGTAATACACAAATACTATTTTAATATTCCATTCTAAGTGTCGTTCATATTCATAATTATATCAGTAATTCGTCCTGTTTTTAACCGATAGTCATCCATCATTTTCCTGCCCCAGACTCAGTTTTCAAGTATTACCATTGGTCTTAGTCGTTTATTCATTTGCCGTGTTTGTATTTCAGTCTCTTATATTCCTACCGCAAGCCCGATTTAGACAAGGTTCATATATACTGCTTTGACTCATTTATAAAAACGATGTAAACATAAAATCGCCTTGGGAATTAAGGTTTATTGGTGGCACTGATTAATCTCCATTACATGTGTCCATCGACCTTAGAAAATTTTTTTAAAACACAAACCTTAATTTACAAACTAGCTGAAAATCCACGTCACATCCAGGGTCAGTTAATTTCTTGTATTTGTAGAAATATAGGCTTTCCCAACTTAAAGATCTTCATTACTCTTTAAAATCCGGTAACCTATAGTTCTATCCGTTATTACTAGAGATTTTCATTTTCAAAGGAGTCAGAAGAAACGAAACAAAATTGATCTTACTGACGTTTCGCTACTCAATACTAATAGCTTTACCAAAGTATTGTAGATCACGATGTACAAAAACTGAAGTTTATATATGGTAACTCGGTTGAAATGCTTCTGTACGAAGCAATTCTGTGTTGTCGAGTGAATAAATTGAAAAAAACCAACGAGTTTATAAGCTGGTACATTTAACAAGTGTATGAATTATAAGAATTGCATATAGTTGTATGATACGGTTTTCGTATCACATCTGTGTTGACAATCCTAATTTGTGGGAAGAGGGTGTTAGAACCAGGAAAAATTTCGCCTTAGCCTCTCATTTCTATCCAGACAATTTAAATTCCACTTGATATTAAGTGTTTCTAATCCATGATTTTGTTTATGTCTTAAAGTCCATGCAAATTACTTTAATATTATTTGTTGATCTAATATTAAATGTTTATGTAAGACCGGAAATTCATTAAGTTTTTTAATTTCATTTGGATTTCTCGGTGATCAGATAGAAGCTCATCGATGTTCATGCGTTCCTATATTGATTTCTCAAGCTTTTTAATGTGTACAGGATCACATTTTGAATGTGCCATTTTGTTGATAATTAAATCGTGGATCTTCCGGTGTTTTATCTTATGCATGAACTAAATTGCTTTGTAGTGTTTGATGTGGTAGAGAGTACCCTGGTCTTACTCGTTTAATTTCATCTGTGTCTGATCTTATAGAGTGACGATTGTTGTAGTCCATGGTTTCGGAGTACTTTTCAATCACGTTTAATAGCGAGGCGTTAGCAAAAAAATCTACTTGTTTTTTTCACTCACTGGGAAATACTGGATTTTAAAAATGATGAATATCACTTACCTAATGGCCAGGTTTTTTAAACCGTTAGATCTGAAATCGATCGGGATATTTATACTTTAGAAACGTCGTTGGTTTTTATAAGAATATGTTAGTCAATAAATTTGAATGTAGTTGCTAGATGTTTAAAATCAAACGTCTATGCAATTCACATAATCTTTTTGCAGTTTACTAAAATCTCACTATTGTAGGTCCTGTCCGTAGCTGCTACATTGGCGTGGTGGTCGGGGTTGCCTTTCGTGATGACTTAACCAAGCTATATTGGCTGGAACATATGTTCCTGTAGGTTCTACCATGTCAGGCGGGTCGATTGGAGAACGGTAAGACTAAAAGCAGCAACTCAAGGTCTGAGGGCGAAGTCGTACTGCTGACTGTAGACGGGTGTGACAGCAGTAAGATGTTTCCCTCGGACAACCAGCATCTGCAGCGATGCTGCCTTCTCACAAGGAAGGAAAGGGTTAGAAAAGGTTGACCGTAAAGATGTCATACCTCACCTTACCTCACGGATTTCCGTCTCCGGCGGTAAGGCCCTTTGAAGAGCGGAGCTAACACGTTAAAAATCTCCTACAGAAAGGCCGTGCGCGACCGGCCTCAAGCAGTTGTCCCTTGGACTCTGATGTCACGCTCCTAGGTCGTTAAGACGAACACTAATCCAACTTTCTTTCCAGGTTCCTCAGGAAATACCCTTCCACGATGTGGGCAGCCGGGAAGTGATATCAGCCCTCATGCACGTAACAACACGCGAGACCAAGTTGGTCACATTCGAATCCTTCCTACGCCTCTTAATAACTCTCTTATCTCCACGACTAAACCTTCTCATGTCCCTTTATCGCCTTGCACCGCTAGTGCAAACGATTCGAGTACGCGGAACGTTACTCCTGGTCTCCTGAAACCACGTTCCAAACTACATCTAGGAGCTTATAACGTTCGAATATTGTGCCAAATTGGACATCAGGCTTCCTTAGCTAGAACTTTAGAATCTCGTGCCATCGATGTGTGCTGCGTCTCTGAAACGCGCATACAGGATCCGAGTAGCGTCATTCATTTGACCTCACCATGTCAAAACATAGAACCAAATCGATTCACTGTTCGTGTATTTGGAAGCATTGAGTCCTAGGGCAGAACTAGTTCTCTTAGACTGGATCCCAGTAGACATTTGTTTGTGCACTGTCCGACTAAACGGAACAGTAAGGACTCGGAAAGATGGGGACACTTGTCGTTGCCTCTTCGTCGTTTCTGCCTATTCTCCCACTGACTGCATCGCAGATGATGTAAAAGATGAGTTTTACAGAAAACTCTCCGACCTTCTCCGAAATGCTAGGCGCTCGGATGTAGTAATAATGGCCGGTGACTTTAGTGCTCAAGTAGGTAAACTAAGCGAAAGGGAAAGACACCTGGGTGGATCTTATGGTGTCATGGCTAAAAGAACAGATAATGTCGACCGTCTGTTGCAGCTATGCTCAGATAACCGCCTGTTTCTTGCTAATACGGAGAAATAACCCATTGTGTCATTGAATAAGAAAAAGAGAATTCAGCGAAGAGAATTTTCTTTTCGACGAAATCATTTACTTAAGCTGTACGTTCTTATACAATTTTTCCGTATAACTATATATACGAATGTACAGCTTAAGTAAATGATTTTGTCGAAAAGAAAAATTTCTTCGCTGAATTCTCTTTTTCATAAGGAAAAACATCTTTTGACATGGCGACCCTCGAATTCGTCCCAACGTTGGACCCAAATAGATCACATCCCTACCAGCCACTGTGAAGTGTGATGGATAAGCGAACTCATGAATGATAAAGTGAAACGCCTATTAACTTTCTTTGACCTTGTATGACTATGTCTTGCTTATTCACCAATCACAATTTTTATGTTCATTATAAAACAATATTCGCCTTGTTGACTTATTTTTCCTATCATCTAGTTACTATTCGGTATGTTATTTATGTCTCTGTTTTTCCCTGTGTAAATAAACTGTACTGTTTATTTTGTACACTAACGGTGTTAATTTATGATTTAGAAACAGATAAGGTTTATCAAACCAAATAGCTTACTTGTTCTGACTTGGGTTAATCCAAGGCTCTGTGCTCGACAGTCTAGAGAATAGCTTAGAGTTACACCTGTAGGAAATTGCTTCCTACAGCCACCGATGGAAGGGCTCGATAGAAGACTGTCGCTCGTTCTGGAACACATGCTTAGATTCAGATCATGCTCTAGTGCTAGCGCGTGTTTGTCTGCGTCTCATTGGATGTAGGAAAGACGCTTCAAGAATACCTCTTAGGGTCCTACTTAATGACAGCCAAGCTAAGAATATATTCCAAATATCTTAACATAATGTAAAATTACCTGCATATTATCATTCTTGCACCTATCTTATTATACGTTAATGACTGTTTTCGTTTGCTTTTTGTTTAGCACCTCGTGTATGATGAAGATGCAAATACCAATACTATAAATGATTGGAAATCTTCAACAGCCTATCATATTCGACAGTTTCTGCGTCGTCTTTTCAGCACAGCCCTATTGGGACCCGAATGTGCTATTGTAGCCCTTGTAGGTGACTGCTTTAACTTTGGAAACGCTTTTTATGTAGTAAATGTACATTCATTCTCGCATGAAGATTTCGGCTTTTATCAGACCTAATATTTCGGATAGTACTGAAGTCCCATGGATCGATTTTTCAATGTCAAAGCTTTCATTGGTTTTTAGACAGGATCAGTATCAACTTATAGAAGTTAACATTTTAATGCTTTTATACATAGTTGAATACTCACTCGTCATTTGTTTACCTATATATAAATAGTTTTCCATACAGATTTTATTACTTTTTATAATGTACTGAAAGTTGCAGTACACTCAAAGCAACAACTTCAAAAGTCGATCTAAGCACGACGTCATCATATTTGAGTTAGGAGCATGTACTACCTTTCGTTTCCTAGGTACTGATTACGTCAGACTCAAGCACTCGATAATAGGATGTTGAATAGAAAGTTTAAATTGTTATTGCACGTGAAATGTGTAGATATAAGTTTATTGCTTTCGTCGAGTTTTATTTTAGCTTAGTATGATCTGGATTTTCATAAATTAGTACCTAGTTTCTTCAGTAAAATATTGAGTATTTCTGGTTTTATATGAAGGCTGACACTATAATCTTTATCTTTTTCACTTTATTTGCTTCAGATGTGAGGCACTAGTCATTACCAGATGTCCAGATAAAAATGGGATTAATATGCTTACTTGGCTTCAAGATATAACATTCTTTTTATTTCTTTTGACTGTCTTTGATTCGAGTATTTTTATATTTTCATAAACATGCACTCTGTTCTAGAATATTTTGTCACAAATATTTTATAGTCTTTTAGTTTATACCTGAGGAATGACTTAGTAAATTTCATCAGTTCATTTGTTTTTGTCATTCACACCATGACTGTTTGGATAGTTAAAATATAATAATTAACATTATTTAAATTTAAGAATTAAAACCTTAACTTTATGACTATTATAACCATTCATATTTTTATTTAATTAGATATTTCTTGAACGACTTATACTTGGAGCCGAAGTGGCTATGACATCATGGACATGGCGTCGTCAACTTTTAGCTTGTGTTCTTCTTGCTAGCAAAGTTTTAGATGATCAGGCTGTATGGAATATTGACTATTGCCAAATTCTCCGGGATATCCATGTTGAGGATTTGTAAGTTCAGTAATAAGGAAGGTGATCATATTAAATTAGTAGTTCTAAATCCCACAGTTCTGACATTTTAAAATCTTTCCTTTCAGTATCAAATGTATTATAATTTTTGGTAGGGACTTTATCAGTATTCCAAATGCCTCTATAATGAACCCTTACTTATCATCGTCGTCCTTGTCTATATATGCCTTCGTGTTAAATTATATTTATGCGACAGTGTATTAACTTTAGCTAGAATTAATTATTATGTTTAAGGTAACTTACCGAATAAATTTATGTTCACAGCATTGATTCACACTGATTATGTGAAGGTTAGTGGTATTACTCGGCTACTTAAAATGGAGTAAGTGTAGCGCTGTTAGAACTTGCTACCTAGCAGTTGAAAATAGAGCGCTTCAACCACTAAGCGACCACTTAGTCTATCGTAATTGTCATAGCATTGTAATTGTTTAGCATTAAGACTAAAAACTGGATATATAGATACATTCTACAATAAAAACATTGTTTTGGAATACAGATTTCCCTATATTCTCTTAGTGTAGTTGGATCTGGATGTATCTGACTAATCCTGTTAATTTAGTTTATTTTTATTCATTTCCCTTTTCTGTCTATTTTCGCTTATTCTAGTCAGGATTAAAAGGTCGTCTTCAATGGCGAAACAGTCATATTTTTATGTTTGAAAGTTTTTTGCCTTATACATTACTGTATGAACGTGGATATTCATGTAAACATCGCAGCAAATAATAGTTTCAGTGCAGCAGTATGATAGGAGGTTGAAGAAAATCCACAGGAAGCCCTTAATATAAATATCAAGCTAGTTGTTACTTGTTAGCAAGAGATGTTGGGATACTAGAAGAGACTGATACTTTGGACGCCATATCTTGCAGTATCTCTTAAAGAGGTGTTGTATTTAAACATTCAACCACTCGATATCAAAACTTAGTCTTTAGGTCCTCGAGTCACTTACAGTAGTGGTTATATTGTAACGGTATTTGTGTAATTTCATCAGCACCAGACTAGAAAAATATGGAGTTGACTACTTATCGGCGATCAATTAGTTTAAAAATTTCAACCTTAAGGGAAGTCAATCACAACCTGAATAGCTCAAGGGTAACGTATATTAATGATAACAGATGATATGGTCTCAAATTTCGTAGAAAGTATCAAATAACTCCAGATTTACAGTACTTCTTGATGGGTGACAACTGGCTCTTTATCTACATTTAAGGTTTCCTCTTGACTACCTTCAGATAACTAACGAAAGCTTACTACACTCGACCCCGAATCATTTAGACTAATGATCACATTGGAACTTGATCGGCAGATTTCAATCAGGATTAAGGACTAGGCGAAACATGACATTAGTTACCACTTGGTAATCATTCACTGTAGAACTTACATAGCTTGTATCGTTGGTCCTTTAAGAATGGCATCAAACCTTTCTATTTTTTCCATTGTATACATTACTTGATATTTATATACACTTAACAGAACTTACAGAGTAGTACATGGCCGTAAAAATTGAGGGTGGATGTTACAGACACTAATGCAGAGGAGATATTGATACGAAGGCAGTCCCTAACTCGCACATTCATATCCGTGCACAAAAAATGTGAAAAGCTGTCTTTTCTGGAGAACTTATACTATGCTAGAAGATGCTAAACCTTGTTACAAAATTATCCTATACCAAGTGAATGATAAGGACTGAAAAATATGCTTTAAGAAACGGTAATATTCTTATAGATGAACTTTTCAGAGTCCTATGAGGTCACTTTTTCTGAAGGTTGTAGTTTTCATTAATTCAAATGTCCAAGATTGTATATTTTTACTTACTGATTTAGAAAGTTCTTGCAACTAAAATCATCTCATTTAAATATTTAAAAAACAGGAATGCTTTGGAACGACACACATTAAGACTGTTACGGTTTAATATCAATGTACCATTTGGAGTATATGCCAGATATTATTTTGACTTGTTAACCGTTGGGGAGAGCGCTGGAGTCGCAAATCAAGCTGTTAAACGAAAACGTTTAACTCCTGAAAGAGCACGCAACTTCCGAATATTACCTACTAATTTGGAAATATGTACATCGGACAAAACATTATTAGATCGAGGATTTCTTTTTGACTTACCTTCTTTCACAAAATCAGAAGTATTGTGCAATAAGAAAGAGAAACAAAAGCGTATTACTATTCAGAAATCAACAGAAGTTAAGTGCTACAAAGACGGTAATCATAAAAAGTTCATTAAAACCCCTTTTTTAAGTCGAAATCAGGCAACTAACCATGAAATTAACTTGTCCAACCCAAAGTTTGATCTTATGCTTGATCATGTAACAGTTCCTGTTGATATTAATTATCAGTCTTTCAATAATGTAATTTCCGATGAATCGTTGGTTCCAATCCACCTAGATGAAGAAACCGATTTTGTAAATTCTACTCCCCCAACTTATTCAAAGTTAAGAGATTTTACTTGTCAGTCGAAACAATCAAAGACAAAGTACTCTTACACAGACCAAGAGCCTTCTAACCAGTTTCATCCCTTATTATTATCATCATCTTTGAATTATCAAAAAGAAACAGTTCCTTGCACGAAGCTTCTGATCAACTCCTCCTGTAAGCCTTTCCAAACGTCAGCTTGTGTTCGGAATTTTAATCCACCTTGTTCCTTAAATGAAGCAACAGGTGTAGATCCCAATAATGTAACCGATTCTCGTATGAGAACAGAGTTTATGCGATCTCTTATGGGTGGCGATGTAGCTTATTCCTTATTACGCGATTCTGGATTATATTGATTAGCTAAGGTTTAATATATTTGCTTTTAATATTATTTGTGCTATTGTTATTAACGCTTATAGTGAGGAACTTTCTACTAAAATTCTGGCTATTTTGTATTTGTGTGCATTTATTTATTTGCCTTTATCACTAAAACTACTTCTATTTTTACTCAGTTTTATTTTTATTTCATACTGTTTTCTTAACATGCTATTATTAATAATTTCATTCTTCCTATATGGATGTTAAACATTTTTGAGTCTCTTAATCAAATTCCCCATATATATATACTGTCAATCTAGTCTTTTCTGTATATTCAACAATCTGCAATATTCGAATACAACGATTGTGTTTCCATTACGATTATTAGCAGTAGTATTAGTGACAGCAATTTTATAAATCTACTATAAGTTGGTATTTTCTTATGTTTCATTTTGTGAGTTTTTCGTACGATGGTTATATATATATATACTTTATAAAGAATTGTATGTTTAGTATTTTAGATTCCTCTCATTCGTTTACTACCTATTTACACATGTATAATTGTTGTATTTTCCTCAGATAAGTATTCCTTCTTGTATTTATCATTTGACAGATATATGAATAAATCAAGTTTATTATAGGTATCATATTTATACAGGAAATGATTAACAATGTACATTTTTTGATTAAATAAAAAGTAAATATGTGTATTATTTTTAGCTATCAGCAATAGTTTTTATGAGCGTTACTACTTGGATTATATCTACTCACTAGTGAGTAAAGTTAATACAAGAAACAGTGGATTTTTCACCGCTCCAAAGGCCTGGCGTTTGTAAGTCAACCGAAGGACGAGTTTAATATACAACAGTGCACTTCACATTACTTTACAGCTGTAAAATATTGTCTGAAGATTCACGATACTGCCCAACATACTGGTAATTGAGATACGTTCTGAGACTTCCTGGTTAGTGGGGCGGTAGTCATTTTCTGTTCTAGATGTTCAGTGATATCACTGGAAGTATCACGGTCCTGTTAATTTTTTTATCCGCTTATAAGCCTTTAGCTTTGTGTAATTCTGATTTCTCACTAACATTCGTCCGTCAAACCTGTACTATAAATGTTTGAGTTTTACTACAATTCAGGTCTTGATAAGCCATCCTTTGGTCTTCATCTTATTATCTTTCACTATCCCAATCTCTAAAAAGTTACATTTACCAAACCTGTTTTATGATTCCACTTTCAGTCTTCACAAGCCAACAACCTATTTTATTACTTAATTACACCTGTTACTCCCAATGGAGCATAGGCCGCCGACCAGCATTCTCCAACCCATTCTGTCCCGGGCCTTCTTTTCTAGTTCCATCCAATTGTTATTCATTTTTCTCATGTCCGTCCCCATTTCTCGGCGTAATGTGTTCTTTGGTCTTCCTCTTCTCACTTACCCTTGAGGATTCTATGTGAGAGCATACCTTGTGACGCAGTTGGGCGCTTTCCTTAATGTTTACCCTATCCACTTCCAGCGCTTCCTGATTTCTTCTTCCGCTGGAATCTGGTTTGTCCTCTCCCATATTAGATTGTTGTTGACAGTGTCCGACCAATAAATCAGAAGTATTTTGCGTAGACAACTGTTAATGAACACTTGTATCTTCTGGATGATGACCTTCGTAGTTCTCCAAGTTTCCGCCCCATACATTAGAATTGTCTTAACATTTGTATTGAAATTTCCGACTTTGGTGTTGGTTGACAGTTGCTTTGAGTTCCAGATGTTCTTCAGTTGCAAATATGCTGCTCTTGCTTTACCGATCCGCGCCATCACATCTGCACCAGATCCACCGTGTTAATCAATGATGCTGCCCAAATATGTAAAGGTTTTTACATCTTCCAAATCTTCTCCGTCAATTGTGATTGGATTGGTGCATGCTGTGTTGAATCGGAGAATCTTGCTTTTCCCTTTGTGTATATTGAGACCTACTGCTGCTACACTGGTCATCTTCGCCTGCATTTGTTGTTGCGTGTGCTATAGAAGAGCCAGATCATCTGCGAAGTCTAGAAAGTCCAGCTGCATCCTATCTCTCCACTATATTCTGTGCTTCCCTTCAGATTTTGACGTCTTCATGATCCAGTCGATCACCAGGAGAAAGAGAAAGGGTGAGAGTAAGTAACTCTGCCTGACACCGGTCTTTACTTCGAACGAGTTTGTCAACCGTCCTCCATGCACGATTTTGCAGTGTAATCCATCATAGGAATTCTGTATGATATTGACTATCTTCTGAGGTACGCCGTAGTGTCGAAGAAGCTTCCATAATGTTATTCTGTCAAATGCTTTTTCATAGTCAATGAGGTTGATGTAGAGTGATGAATTCCATTCAATTGATTGTTCCACAATGATCCTTTGAGTTGCGATTTGGTCTGTACACGATCTATCCTTACGGAATCCTGCCTGTTGGTCACGAAGTTGGGCGTCTACGCAGTTCTTCATCCTGTTTAACAATACCCTGTTGAAGACTTCTCCCGGTATTGAGTGAAGAGTGATGCCCCTGTAGTTATCACAGTTTCTGAGATCGCCATTCTTCGGTATATTGACCAGAAGTCATTTTTTCCAGTCTGTTGGTACATGTTTCTCATCCCAAATCTTATTGAAGAGAATATGGAGTACCTTTGCAGTTACTGCTACGTCTGCTTTCAGTGCCTCTGCTGGAATGTTGTCTGGTCCTGTTGCTTTGCCACTCTTGATTTACCTGGTGGCCATGCTGATTTCTTTAAGTATTGGTGGGCCAACATCGATTAGGAGGTCCGTGGTTGCTGCTTCGATATTGGGTGGGTTCAGTGGTGCTGGTCGATTTGAGAGTTCTCTGAAGTGTTCTACCCACCTGTTTTGTTGCTCTTCAATGTTGGTGATTACCTCGCCTTCTTTGCTTTTCACTAATCGTTCTGGTTTACGGTGATTTCCACACAGTTTCTTTGTTGTGTCTTACAGTTGCTTCATGTTTCCTTCTCTTGCAGCCTTTTCCGCCGTCATTGCTAAATCTTCCACATATTTACGTTCGCCAGTTCTAGTGCTCCTTTTCACTTGTTTGTTTACTTCTGTGTATTCAGCTTGTGCCTTGGTTTTTTCTGCTCTTGTTCGACTGGTATGGATTGCTGCTTTCTTGTTCCTCCTTTCTTGAATCTTACCCAGTGTATCAACAGTGGTCCATTCTTTGTGATAGTGGTTCTTGTGGCCCAGAACCTCATGACATGTTGAAGTGATTGGTTCTTTTGTCCCTTTCCAGTTGCTCTCCATAGTAGTTCCTTCTCCATTGAGTAGATCTTGAAAGACCTGGACTTTATTGCTGAGGACTATCTTGAATTTGTTGAGTTTATCAGTATCCCGAAGAAAGGCCGTATTAAACTTTTGTGATATTGTCTGCCACGTTGTGCAGTGCTTCTTGAGTTTCAATTTCACCTTGGTGTCCAGCAAATGATGTTCTGACGCTATATCAGCTCCTCTCTTGTTTCTCACGTCTCCGGTCTCCCACATTGTACGAGAATTCCGTGTACCTAAATAAATGGTTGCTCTGGTTGTCAGGATGGGTATCGGCCTCATGACGTCCGAAGTAACTCGGCCTTCATCATGAGGCGTCATCACTCTTCCAAATGAAGAACCTCTGATTCCTAGGGCAGAGTTCAAATTGTTTGAATATTTTTTTCTGATTGGCGATTTTTAACGAGTTTTCTACGCGACGGAGTCGCTAACTCCATGCTCAACCCTCCTCCTTTATCCGGGCTGGGGACTGCACTAGCCTCCGGTGGGGCTCCAGGCAGATTTAACGTATTATATATAGAATAGTGAATTGTTTAGAAATGATAAAAGTCCTGTGTTAAAAAAGCAATTAGCGTAGCGCTTCGACTAAGGGCTTCATCAGACCTCATTGTAATGCATGCAGTGTTTTTTAAATCCATAAAGGAGGGAACTAATCAAGATGATTCATGTATTAGTGATGAAGTGCATTTGTGATATTTTATTGTTCCTTGTGTATTTGCAGCTACGTTTTGTGTCGGTCTTGCAACGTATTTTATATTCACTACCGTTACTTACTTTATTTGGGAACACGATGTAGCCTCGTAATAGACAGGCTTATGTTAACTCAAGCGTTACGGTGTATAATCATGAAATAATCGAATAATTTTCATGATCCTTAGAAAGCGATATCTTTCGTTCCCGTTAGTCCATATGTGAAATTATGTTCATATTCAATCTGCTTTATTTTTATATATTAATTGTACATCTTATATCAATCTCGATCGTCTGGTTCCCTCTACTTGCTCCTTGATACCGAATGCACCGTGTCTTTATAACTTCTACTTTGTTGGTTATGGGATTGTCTGCATATATAATAATCATGTCGCGAATTTCAGGGCACCCCACCTCGTGAAGTTTCTGTTTCTTCTAGTTCTTAAAATGCTTTGCTTTCTGTGCAACAGTGTGAAAGCTTCGTAAATTACTACAACGAAATGGGAATATATTGTCGCTGGACATTAATTCAGAATCCAATATATTCGCTACGGGTTTGTACAGATCGTTTTAAATCTTTGTGCCTGTATATGATTGCTTTGCTACAGTTTCCAGTATTCGGTCTTAGTTAATAAGGAGCATTTTGCGAGACGTCAGCCTTGTTATAAATCACCACATGCTTGGATTTTTGATAGATTATTACATCACTGTTGGTGCTAATTTTTTTTAAGTATTTAATCACAAGTGCCATTGTATAAACTCATCGTATAGCTCTGCTAGATTTGTTACTGTTCCCAAGTCTGGTTAAGTGAGCAGGATTGGACATAGAGTTTGCAATCATATGCTGCAAAAAGCATTTTTGCTAAAAAAAAACGTTAATTAAGTGTTGTGAGATCTTCGTTTAGAAGAAGTCTGACACCTAGTGGTGTAAGCCGAAATTTCTATGAAGTCACGCGTTCGATGCTTTTCCTAACAAACAGAACAATATGGGTACAAGGAATATCCGGGCACTTTTGGAGACAGGTAGGATCAATCGTACAGCTA